ACGCGGGGGAGCGGCCGGCACAGGGCGAGGCTGTCGCTCACACGCCGCAAACCAGGAAGTGTCCAGCCATCCGAAAAAATGTAATGTCGGACTTGAGCAAGAGAAGCAGCTGCTCCACTACTTAGCGGCCCACAGATAGTTGGCTGAGTCCCGGGAGAGGGTGTTGGCTGAGGCCGCTAAGAGGCAGAAACACCAGGTTGGCTGGGCCGCACTCCCCGCCGCCCCGCCCTCCCCTGCAGTCTCCGCAGGCCCAGCCGGCCCCCGAAAGCGGGGTGCGCGGTGTGGACCCCAGGGTGGTTAGCACCGGGGTCACTGTGCACCTGGCCGGGGCTGGGCACCTGGGTCTGACCCTTCCCAGCACAAGGCCAAGGGGGAAAGAACTCACTTCACCCAGATCACTCGGATCAGAACTGGGTCCCCATTGCGGGACCCAAAGAGGGGCTGATGGCCAGCAGGGGGACTGGTCAGCCTCCGCCTGGCCTTCTCCTGTTCCCTCTCTGTGCCCCAAGCAAGATGCACTTGGTACATGAGGCATGTATGGCTGAAGCCCCGAGGAGAAGTGTCCACCGGGGGTGTCTGGCCAGGTCTCTGCTGAGAAGGACAGGAGAGTGCTCCAGCCAGGGCCAGACTCTCAGGACCGGCTGCCCTACGGCACGAGGAAGGATGACTCTGCCCCCGAGCACCTGCCCGTCTGCCCACCTGTCCACCTGCCATCTGTGCAAGCCCCTCTCCTGTCTCCTTGGGTAGAGGAGGGGATTTCCACCTGTCACCTCATTCCTGTCTCTTTCACTCTCACCCTGCAGAGGACACCGGGCAGGAGGAAGGCCCGTGGATCCAGGCTGTGCTTGGTCTCAGATGAGGGCCCTGGAGGTGCCCACCTCCCACTGGGAAGCCAGGCCAGGCCATCCTCATCCCCTCCTCCTTCTCCTCCTAGCGCACAGGGGCCTCTCCTGAGAGGTTCCCGCCTGCCTCTGAGGACAATTCTCCAGCATCCAGCTCCAGAACACACCTATGAGCCTGCCCCTTCCATCCCCAGGCCCCCTGATCCACGGGTGAGGAGGGGGCAATGCCATGTACCACTCAGGAGCCCACGAGGCTGCAACACACAGAAAACCAGCTAGCACAGCACGGCATGCGGGCTCCACATCATCGAAGAACCAGCTCCTGCTTCGTCCCTGCCCACCATCCTAGCCTGGGCTCTCACCTCCTGGTTGCAAGAGGGCTGCTGCGCCCCCAGGCGACACAACTAGATTCCAGGCAGGGAGAATCAGGTAGGACCCATAACCTCTCCAATCAGGAAGGTGGCGCTCCCTGGACAGTCCTGTCGACACCCCCCGCCAGAACTAGCTCATGTGGCCACTCAGCTGCACAGCTGCTAGGGAAACCTATTTTCGGGTAGATACACTGCCACCCCAAACACAACTGGGGCCCTTTTAGGAGGTAAGCAGAAAGCAACTGAGGTAGCAGTGTCGCCCCACCACCCCTTAGACTGATTTGAAAGGAGACTCGGGCTGTGGAACTCTCCTGAGGCCACACAGCTGGCGACAGCCTCTTCTCTCAAGGAGACACCTCCCTGTCCCCCTGGGGCCACTTTAACCCTGCCTTGCAAACACCCACCAGACCATGCCCAGGCTAGTAGGAAAGATGGCAGTTCTACTCCGTCCTCAGTCTCCCATAGGGAGGCCATGTGGCTTAAACACATGAGTGCACATGCACACACACAGGTGTGCACACAGACACGCCTATATGTATACGCACATGTGCATGCACATATACGCAGATACAGGTGTCACGGTGCATATGTGCTCACGTGCACACACAGGCACGCATGTAGGCACACACACGGGCACATGCACACACACGCACGTGTACACAGACATGCACCCACACGGCATGTGTGTCACGTATGCATGTGGTGCATGTCTGCAGCACATGAGCGTACTTGTGCGCGCACAGACATGCATACACACAGGCACACCAGCACCTATGCGTGCTCACACACACACACACATGCACACCAGCAAGCTGCCGGCTCCCAGCGACTTGCTGCCGAAGGGCTCAGAGAGCAGCCAGCTGCCCCACGCCAGGACTCTCTGGCTCACCAGCCCCATACCTGGGCCCATCCTGTCACCCTTGGCGACACCCAGCCCACTGGAAGCGCAGACTTTCCTAACCTCAGGCATCTGGCTGCCCTGGCATCCCTGGAAGGTGGGGGGCAGAGTTGGGGGAGTGTCGGGAGGCGAAGAAGGAAAAACCCCAAATGGAACCACAATATTTACAAAATGGGTCACTGAATTACACAGAACAACATTTCCCCGGAGGACGCAGTTCCTTCCTGGACGAGCTTCGCGCAGATGCCTGCGCCGGCCTCAGGCGCTGCGGAGGGGGCTCCGCGGAAGCAGGGAGGGGGCCGCTGGAACCGAGTCGGAAGCCACAGGGCATTTTCTCAGGCGCCGGTCAGAGATGCAGCAGGGGGCCCACACACACTCGGCCCCACCCCGTGTGGGCTGGGGGCAGGGCCGAGGCCTCAGGCAAGGTCCAGAGAGAATTCTCCCCACCCTGCTCCCCGGGGATGGACGATGGCTTCTTTGCTCATCTAGGCTTCCCTGCACCCCCCAGACTGGAAGCCACCTCTGGGGGGAGTGGGGGCGATTGCCTGGGGTCGGTGGACACGGGTCTCACACCGGGAGGGGAGGGGCCGAGGGCTCTGTTCTGATTCCGCCAGCCTCGGGGAGGGTGTGAGGAGGGATGTGGGGCCTGGGACCCCCAGAGGCCCCCAGCCCAGGGAGGAGGGAGGAAGAAAGGGAAGGAGAAGAGAGGGAGGAGTGAGGGAGGAGGGGGGAGGAGTAGGACTGAGCGCAGAGCCACCAAGCTCCCTGGGCATCCGTCCATTCA